GAAAACTCTGAAGACAAATGCAAAAGCATGGACCAAAGGCATACGAAATTGCATGAATCTGATTTTCGCTATTCTCTTAATTCTGTTACTTGATAACAATTTTATTCCACAATTTTTTGGCTCATTTTAGATTCTTCTTTTATGCTTATTTTAAAGCCAACATTTGTGTTGCATTTTTGCTTTTCTTTCTTCATGGTTTAATTTTGTACCTTTTCATTGAAGAGGAAAGCAAATTTGTTCAATTAGTTGAAACCGTTTTGCTTGAAGGGATGAACCATCAAATCTGACTGCAAGAATTTTTGTATACAAACTTAGGAAAAGGAAACACATAAAACCTGGAAAAATATTATTGCAAAGTAAAGCAAAAAGAGATGAAAATTCACAAGAGAAATGCAAACTCATATTGCATACAATTGCAAGCATTTCAAGACAAAAGTTGAAGTTGAAGGAAAAGAATGGTGAAAAAGTAAAGAAACATTTAGAGGTTGATCAAGATGATGTATTATGGTGGAAGAGTGCAAATTCATATTTTAATGTTGAGCAAAAGTAATAATGGAATGAAATGTAAATCCAGAGATTCAATGATCCATCAGTTGGAATCGCAAACGAATGAGAAGAGTTTCATTTCCAACTTTACTTGATTCACCAATTTGATTGACTTTGCGCTTCTATTTTTGTTAACCAAATTTTCATCTCTCATCTTCATCTTCCCATCTTGCCAGAGTAAAGAAGTTTTCAGAAAACTTTTCACTTCGCTTTAGGCAGTTTCTTGCATCAACTTTGACCACATTATTAGGTATTTCAATTGCATGATATTTCAAAATGAAAAGCATTTAAATTCACTGAGAGTAAAACGTATCAATGGAATAAATAAACTTCCATTGTTTTCCATCATTTACCCTGACTCATGATAATAATTTATTCAGGTTGAAGGTGAACAAATTGAGCAAAATGTTTCTCCAAACACTTGAAGCATCATGGAATAAACTGAGTAGAGAAAACAGTTTAAATTGTAAATCAAGATTGACTTGTCAACTCATTCAGCTTCATCATTGCTTCGATTGAAAGACTTTTGGAAAATCTTTTTTTCCTAATTTTCTATTTTTAGTTATTCGTTTGAAATTTCTTCTTCCAATGGAATATGAATAATTTGTAATGCAAAATATCGACTCGTGTGGCCTCATCATGGTGATGATCGATTCTTGAATGATTGATAACGATGACCATCTCATGTGACTGCTATTAATTCATCATTTATCAAACATTAACTTGCTCATTATTCATCATTATTCAGATTGTCCGGATAAACTAATTGAAAGGAATCATGAAAGTGAAAAGAAAGTAATTCTGAATTATATTGCTTAGCAGTTGCGGAGTATCAGCGTTTTCATGTTGATTGTTATTGATGGTAATTTGTGAACATTGAAGTTCCAAGAAAAGCTGAAATTATTTGGCTTTGATTGAAAACTTGAAAAAAGTCTTTACAAAACTAAATTATAAGACTTTTTATAAAGAGATTTATTGATTTCAATGTTTCATTCAGAACAGGAAAAGTAATTCGCCCAATTTTACAATTTCAATTGTTAAGATGTCACAGCTCAACTAATCCTCATCAGTTGAGCAGCTTTTATTTCATGGGAAATGGTGAAATAGCATTCTATTCAATTTGATATACATTTGCTCATATTTCAAATAGCAATCTTGGATTATCAAACTATAACTTGTACTATTTGTTGTTGAAGTTTTGGTGAAGAAAGCAAAATTCAAGAGAAAATATTTTTATCGAAAAATAATCAATTTTCATTCTAAACTCGAAAAATTTCAAAATGCATTCATGTTTATTGGTAAAGTGAGAAAACATTTGTTTTCTTAGTAAATGTAAATCATCAGTCATTTCCAATGAGCCGAGTAAATGTATTCACCTTCACCTAACAAACAGCATCAACTGCAGTCAGTTAATGTAAGCAATAGGCTGGTTCACGTGAAAATGTAAATTTCCTTTCAAGTGACTTCCATTTGCTTTTCAATTTTTCTTGTCTTTTCCTTTTTCCGTTCAGCACCTTTCTTTCAAACATTACCATAATGCTAAGCATGTTGTGATGAGACAAAGAAAGAGAGAGAACAAAAAGTGAAGAAAAATGAAAACTTTTTTGACCAATTTATGCGACTCGTTAGGCTGTTACTGGGATAATTTTTATGCAGCTTCTGTGCATCTCTTTGCATCAAAAGTTTGATCACTTGAAGCTTCCTCCAGTAGTTAACTACTTGTTTGCCTGCATTAGCATTTCAATGGTTCGGCTCATCAATCTCATTTTGTGAATAATTTAGATTACTTTGTTGGCTTGTTGGTCCATAGACTCAAGTGACGAAAAGCAGACTATTTTAGGGTCGCTTTTGTTTTGCTCTTTGGCTCAGTTGAACTTTTCAGTTTGCATTTTACGAGAAATGACTTCCATGAATTCTGTGAAAGTTGATTGCAAGTCTTTGAAATTCAACTCGACAACCTATTAGGAAAGTGATTATTGTAATTTTTCATGATCATTGAACCAATTTATCTGAGAAGGCAATCAAAATTTCAACTTGAATCATTGTCACTACTAACTGGATTGTGAGTTGAACTGAAAGTTTCTGCTTTTATCGTATATTTAGGATAAAGTGTGAGATTTAATTGACATTAATGTAACCAACAAGTCGACAAAGAAGCTGCAAAAGCTGTCATTCAATTATTTGAACATGTTTAAAATCACTTTTTAATCATTCATCAAACTGTTATTTTTACACTGATTCCTCAGTGACATTGATATTGTTCAATTATTTGAAACATTTTCCATTGACAGTCTAAACGGATAACTCAAATCTCATCTGCAATGCCATTTCCTATTTCCCATTATTTCTTCTCTTTTCTCTTTTATCATCTTAAACTGTTCATTTTCCCTGAATAATTGTCACCTTTTCCATTCTCTATTTTTTCCTTTTACTTTCTGTTTCATGATCATTTCAAAAGTTTGCAAAATAATCGCAAAAAGCAAAAAAAGAAAACTTCTTTACTTTTTGTTCATTTAATGTCACACAACAGTTTATTTATATCAAAACTGTATAAACCAACAAAACCCAATTTCCTGAATTGATTTGGTGAAAATGAAAAACCGGAAATCAATTTCTTCCTTTCATTCAGCAACTTGCCAAGCCAAGGTGAGAAGAGGAAAACTTGTCAACTTGAAGTTTAATCTGAATGAACCTAGACTCATATTACAGGTGAATCGTGTTGACCAATAGATGAAACTAGAAAATATGAAAAAAAGAAATTTCTATTCTCTTTCACGCCTTCAGTCAAACAAGATGAAAGCAAATACATGGAAACACGATTATTGTTTCCAAAAAAGATCATCTCATGTTCGCCAAAAGTTCTAAAAGTGAAGCTCAAAACTTCTCTTATTATCAAAATAATAATCTTTATTAATTTAAAACTCGAATCAACTTGAAATTCTGATTGGAATTGAGCAAAAATTGAACTTTCTTTCTGTTGCTTTCCAAATGATAATCCTTTCATGATATCATCTTTCCGGAGACTTATTTATCATTAATCTAAATGGATGTGGAAGAAGGAAAACAGGGAATGACGAATATCTTCTTTAATGATGTTATTGTTATTGACCAACATTATTGGCCAAAACTAATGTTACCCTGAATAAGGATGATAATAATGATAAACTTGTAAAGAAGACCAAATAATCGGAACGATCCAAATGAACGGAATCAAGGGATTTGATGAAAGTTATATTTAATGGAAATTGGTTCGAGATGGAAAAGATAACATTTTCAGTTTATCAGTTTATCAACATTTGACTTTTGTCTTCATGTCTGAACAATAGAATCGAATTAAAAATTTTCATTAATTTCGAAAATTTTCTCATCATTTTCCTCACTTTTCAAGTCACATTTTGTCTTAAGTGATGAATGATCGAAAAATGGTTGTCGAGCTGAATGAAATTTCGAGTGAAATTCTGATTGAAGAATGGAAAAGATGATGAAAAGTGGTGAACAAAAGTGGAGGGAATACCTTTACCATGGCCATTATCATCATCATTTTCTTTTCGTTTTTTGTTCTTTATTTTTATACACAAATCCATTTCTTGTCAACTCAATGAAAATGGAATCACGTACAGTTTTTCTTTGGGTGGAAAAGGCAGAATCTAATAATCATCCTTCATCCACTTTCTTTATGTGCATATCTATGGGAATGGGTATCGACTATCATGATGATGATCATCATCAGCATTATTCTTTATGCTTGTCCATTAGGTTTTGGTAGGAGAAGAAGAAGAAGAAAATGAGAGAAAAAAAAGTAAAATAAAACTTGATATTCTCGCATTGAAACCAGTCAGGCAAAACTATTGAAGGATAAGGAGGGAAAGGATAATGGTGATGATGATGAGGATGAGAAGGGTGATTAATAAGATGAAAAGTCTTTGTAGCAAGGTTTCATGGGATCACATATTAATCCAATTGCCTTTTACTTACCTACATAAAGTTAATTTTAACCATTTATTTTGGTTACAGCATTTGTAATGAACACTTTATAGAGTGATAAAAGTAAACCGAAAAATTATCACAAAAAATGATTCCATCTTTTCCTTACAATTTTTGACGAAAACGAAAAGAATGAACAAGATTTGGAAAATTTTGCTAAAATTTATAAATTCGATTTCGGAGTTTTAGTCCAAATTTTCAAAATAAAACTTGCTTTAGATTTTGTAAGATGATGAAAACGGAAAATTTTAAAGAAAAATTTTTCGATACTAAAGGGAAATTTTGGAGTTTCGACCAAGTCTTCAAGCTTGGTTGACTCTTAGTTTGATTTTTTCGTCTTTTCGTTTTTCGCTAGTTTCTTGCATTTTTCATTTTTTCATGAATTCATTTTTCTTCATTCATCTTCATTCATCAAAATCTGTTTTCTTTTATTTATGATAAATTTTCTATTCTCTTTTTTTCATCAATAGTTTTACGTGAAGAATTCAAAACTGTGCCCAAAAGTCAGGCGATTGTCTCGGGAGATAAAGTTACCCTTGACTGTGTTCCACCTCGAGGTTATCCTGAACCCAAAGTGTACTGGGCCAAAGATGGAAGGCCAATAAGTCTACCAACAAATAGGATTAAACTTGTTCCCGGTGGGAGTTTGCGAATCAACGATGTTAGGCCAAATGATGCAGGTCGTTATACTTGTATAGCTGAGAACACAATTGGAACCAAGGAATCACCTCCAGCAATCCTGGAAGTTTCAGGTAATTGTCGATGAAAAGAGTAAAGGGAAAAGTAGAGCAAAAATATGAATAGAAACACTAAATTTACGAGTTTTACTCAAAGTAAATTTTTAAATGTTTACTGTTGGTTAACTAATCAAATTATAGAGATTCAATTGAATAAACAAAGTTCAATATAATACTTGATCAAACAAGCTGACAATTTAATTATCAGATTCATGTTGCTATCAATCCTTTTCAGTTTCTTTGTGACTTTGAGCGAAAACAGTTTTACCATTAATCATGATAATCATGAAACTAACAACGAACATTGAACAATTTGAAAATCTAATTTTTTTTATTTCTTTTTGTCTTCCCAATGAAACCATTCATTGACACAACTGGCAATGGTTACAATGAATTATGCAAATCCAGTGAAACCTTATTTCATCCGAAATCCTGAAAATGTTTCAGCTCTTTCTGGTGAAACAATTGAATTCTCATGCAAAGTGGGCGGTGAACCTGCACCTTACATTACATGGACCAAAAAGGACGGCAAAATCGCCATTGGAAGGTAACATTTATTTTCTCATTTAAAGATGAAAGTCAATTTAAATTCAACATAAATGAATGGGAAAACGCAATGAAATGAAAAGACAAAAATGTTTGAATAAAACTGTTATTTTACCTTGGAAAAGAAGAAAAGAGGAAAAAATGAAAGTAACAAGGGAAATAAACTTAACTGGCTTCTGGTGTGATTTTCAATTGATTGACAGTTGAGAAATGAAGAAATGTTGAGAAGAAGAAGAAAAAAGTTGACTTCTATCATCAACTTTGAGGTTTTCCATCTTTCCTTATCTTCTTGTTGTCTATTTACTTCATCCATTCACATCCCGAGTCTCATCATTAGGTTGCTTCCAACGAGTGAGAAGTTTACATTTGACACTTGATTTTGTTTCCTTTCTTTTTGTTTCACTCAAAGAACACAAATAATGACGAATCGATGTTAAGGTCACTTTTCATTTCTTGATTGGCTTCATCTTGTTCCATCATCTTTTACTCGATAATCAAACTTTACATATTTTTCATTCTCTTGTTTTCCCTCTTTACTGTCAAACATTATTTGTCCATCAATTTGTTGACAAGAAAGCATTTAAGTCTGGATTAGCACACAGATTCAATGTTGAACTAAACTGTTCAATATAAATATCAATATCAATATGCCAGTCTCTTGTAAACTCAATTTTCACTGTCACTGGATTCAAGTCAAGCAAAGTTTACCCAAAGTCAATTTGTCGTAACTTGTTAATCGCTCAAAAGTCACTATAACTTCATCAAATCAGTCTCGACAATTTAACTTGGTCAATCAATTTCTATTTGGGTTTAGCTATAAAAGTCGATTCTTGATGTTCTCGAGTTTTTACAAGATTAGCGCTTGACAGATGAGTTTCACTTTCTAAAGCTTTGTCTTTCATTGAATTACGATATCTTTTTGAATCATTTGCATTCCCTTCATCTTGACAATGAAAAAAGATCTTCCATGTAAATCAGTTTCTGAACATTTAATTAAGATCGATGTCAACATGACCAAGTTGACCATTTAGCATTTACTCTGAAAACTTTGCCCAGTGTTTTGTTGAGGAAAATTTAGATTCAAGTTTGGAGACATTCGAGTTGTATTTGAAGCTAATTAAAATCAATCTGGAAAATTTTCTAAATCATTTCTTCTTTTCGAATATAATTTCTCTTCTTTTCAGAATACAAATTAAGGAAGATAAAACGTTGAGAATAAGAGAAGTTAAACCTTCAGATAGTGGTGTTTATATTTGTGAAGCCGTTAATCAAGGAGGACACATATCATCATCAGCATCTCTATCAGTCGATTGTAAGTATTGATCATTTTTAAACTCATTACCTAAACAAAAGTAAAGAAAAGTTGAAGTTGAAAATGCTTCGAGTTAGTTTGATCGATGAAGTTAAATGCAGCATCGAATCGAAGAAAAAAATATCCAAAAATTAAGATCATAATATTATTTATTAATCAATTTATAAGGCAATATTACAAACTGAGAAATTATTTTATATTTTTTTCTGAAAAACTCCAAGCGATAAGAAATTTCGCAAATCAATGTTTCGATAAAAGATATGATTATTTGTTATCTAATACTGTTTGACATTAGCTACTTTAAGCTATAAAAGCTTTAACCTTTGCCGAGTTGACACAAGTTAATGTTTGCTTGTTTTACAATCACTTTTTACCTTTTCTCTTGCCAGGTATACCAAGTGACTTTTTAATTCAAAATGTTGCAGACAAAGTGCCAACCCATTCACCTGAAAACCTTCGCCTTGCCGTACTCAATGAAACCTCTGCCAACCTAACCTGGTCAGCCTTGCCTGTTGATCAATGGAAAGGTGAACCCAGGGCTTACTTTATTCGCCTAATGTCAACAGACCATCGTTTCTGTTCACATTTCAACACAAGTCCATATCAAACTGACCTTATTCTTAACAATTTGATTTACGGTGAAACCTACGAGATATCTGTTGCTGCCTTAACTTCATCAGGTATTGGCTCACTAACCGAGCCCATTCCTCTTCACATGGTTACCAGTTACAGTTACAATTGGCAAACTGGTTCACCTTCATCATCATCCTCATCAACTCTATCCGAGTTGCTTCTCAAAGACACTACCTCTTTGACCTCAAACAGCCTAACAAAAGATCCAATCTTCATCTTTAGTGCTATCCTCGCTCTATTTATACTCTCATTTATAATACTTATTTTATTTGCTCGACGTCACATCAACTGGAACAAAGGAATGGGTGCCTACATAACTGTTCAGCTCAACAACAAATGCGACGACCTGGTCGACTCCAAGTACACCAAAGGCAATGGACCTCTAACAGGCCCAGGAGCCGGTGGAATATCAGCCTCTTCAATAGGTAATCCAGGTTATTGGTTGACTGATAAAAAACTGTCGACTTTCACAGCCTCATCATCATCCTCATCACCACCAAAGGGTGCATCAAAAACACAATCAAAATATCATCACCAAGCAAACTCGGGTCCACCCGTGCCAGTCGGTCAAGACTATCTAACTGCCCATTCAGATGAAAGTGCGACATGTGAAAATGTAAATGAAGCCAGTAAACGTCATCTAACCGGTTCAATCAATGGTGTGCCAAGTGGTGAAGTTGAAAGTGAATTGGATGAAGTTGAAGATTGCATTGAATCAGATTATGCCGAAGTTGATGATCGAAGTTTAAAGACATTTGGTAAACGACTCTACTCTTCACCTTCAACCGAACCTTATGCAACAACCACTCTAATGAAATCGTTTCGTGGGTCAACCGAAAACACAAGTCTACTCGGTTGTCCAACCTCAAGTCAACCCAATGGCAAGTCGATGCATTCACTTGCCTCAAGTCGACCCGTAAAGGGTGATGTTGCGGGTAAAAAGTTGAACCTGTCTGCAGTCTCTTTAAACAGCAACCATTACCCACCGCACCATCATCGACTTTCAAGTGTCAATGGTAAAGGCAACAAACCATTGACCATGGAAGGTAAACTCAACTCGCAACAGCAAGCCCAATATCACAGTCAACATCAACATCTGAGGACAAATCAGTCCAACTCTTTTCACCATTCATCGCACCTTCTTTCATCCTCTTCTTCCTCATCAACTTCATCCTCTAATCAAAATATAACTTTAATCAACTGCCAAAATGGTGAGACACAGACAACGGGTAAATCGCTTCTCACCAACTATTCAAATGGTAATCATTTAAATTATCATTCTCATCACAATCAACATCAATCACGTTCATCTTCACTTTCAACCAGTGACTTGATAATCAACTCTGCAAATGCCAATAGTCGTTCATCACCTTCAGCATCAGCATCAGCCTCACCCTCATCTTCATCCAATTGTTCATCAACAATCAATACCAATGGTATTAACAATCGTGATAACTCAAACTTGGTACCATCAAATGTAACTGTTCATTGTCAATATCATCCCATTGTTTTAGCCTCTTCTGGCTCTTATTTCGAGAAATATTTGTAAAGAATTTTCTTTTCGTTCTCTTTCAATGAACGAAACCAGAAAAAAACATGATAGAACAAGCAGAAAGAAAAAAGAGTTTGATTGCTTTTGCAAAATTGATTGCAAGTGAATTTTACTAATTTGGATTCCATTAAAGTCCAAAATTGATTTATAAAATTGTAATATTTATAAAACGAAATTCAATAATAATGTTTTTTTCGCCGAAAAAAATTGCCTTTTCATTTTTTCCTTCACTTTCATTTACTTTGATTCAACACTCGACTTTATCAGTTCATCATTTGTTTCTGGTTTTTTTGCTTCAATTGCATTTGTTTGCTAATCATTGATCAAATGCAAAAGCTTTTTTAATGAGATTGTTCAAGTGCCTTTTACAAGTGTCGAGTATCTAAACCAGTAATCCAATTCAGTGATAAATGTTAACCCTTTTATTGCCACGGATTACATTCAAGTAACATTTGACTATCTAGTGTAATTATCACTGATTTTGCTTTCAGATTATTTTGTTCACAAATGCTTGAGTTGAAGCAGAAGCACAAGTTTCAAGTTAATTTCAACCCTTTTCCTATTCATTCAGCTTCAATTATGACCAGTTCAATTACATTTATAACCAAACATTATCTCATGCTAATAAATGCAAATTAATTGACATTTCTCTTCACCAAATGTTCGTGTAAAAATGATCATCTTGATAATCAAATGCACGATAAAAGGCAACCAAAATTAAACTATCATAACTAATCAGGTTCATCTCATTAGATTGGCCAGTACAAAGTACCAAGACTGGGCAGAAATTTTCTTATCCATTTCCTTGATCATTTCCTTTTTAATCTCAACACCTGAAAGCGGAAATTAACAAAACCAAAAGCTAAAAAACAGAAATGAAAACTCAAAATTTAATTTCCATTTGCAAATTTTTTATGAATTTTGATTTCCATCACCAGCGCCATCTAGTGTTGTAAAATATGCAACTCGAAATCGATTTAAAAAAGGCGCCATTCGACCTTGAGTAATTAAAGCCAGATCGAACTCTTGCTCGAAAAAATCGAATTTTTAATATTGATAATTAAGAATTGAAATTATCAGAAGCAAAAAGTACTTCAAAACCATTCAAGTCAAGTTTCGGTTATAAAAAGCCGAACTTACCTTATAAAGATACAAAAGTCTTTCAATATTGGAAATGATGAAAACTAATGAGTTGAAAGCATTGAATGAATCGATTTGACAAAAAGGTTGTGCTCGCCCAGACAGGGGCTCGAACCCTGGGCCGTTAGGTTAAAAGCCTAACGCTCTACCGACTGAGCTATCTGGGCTCCACATGAAGAAAAAGCTTAACAGATGATAAAATACATGGAGATAACTCGAGAAAAGTCAATGAATCCAGTTGAACCTAAATTGACTTTTGCCATCTTTAGTGGAAGACATTTCAATCGATTTGTTGGTGGAAAAATATAATTGAATTTTAATGTACAAATGAAGTTTACAATGAATCGCACTTTCAATTCTCATGACAACTTAATTATGATCATTTCTTTCATTTGTGTCTTGTTCAACAGCGTCAATCAGTCAACATAAGAACAGACCAGATGCAGTTGACAATGTTTGCCAATTGAAGAAGAAGAAGGAATGAGAATTGCAAAGACAGAGAAATAAAGTTATCTAGTTTTCCATGATAAACTTGCCAATCCAAGTTGATTGTTGAGAAGATGAAAAGCTTTTCCAAAAACCATGAGTTTAATTATTTTGCATGATGAAACTTATGCAAATGGAAAAGTCAGAAATCTCAACTGAAAATGTAACCAAAGAGTTTTCACCATTTATTGCAATATTTCATTGAAATAAATAACATTTTACTCTTTCCTTGTTCAACTTGAAATGAAAATGAAATGAGAATGAAATTGAGTGAAAAGGTAAATTAAATTGAAATTCAAGTTGTTTCAAATTCGAGACATTTTTCTTTGTAAATGAATAAATCAAAGGTTAATGATTTGGAGTTTGATTAATCAGTTGAAGTAGTAAAGCAATTGCATGATAAAGTTGAAAGACTTGAAAGCAAAAATGGAATGTAAAAAGTTGTGCAAAATTCAATTCAGGATAAAACCTCATGTCAACCACAGAGAAGCATTTCAATGGTTCAATTATCGCGAATCAGTGAATCGAAATAATATTTGAGACAAAAAAAGGTAAAGAAATTTTTGTCCAAAGATAAAGATTCGTGCTTTCCTTCGTCATCTTTTTCCTCTTCAATCATTATGGGTTATCATGAAGACGTTTTTTTTACTCAACAATTGTTTCAAGTGAACAAGACTCGAGACTAAATGCCAACAAAATAATAGTTGAACATCGAAAGGAATAAAAAGATTTTGATGAGGATTTTGCATGTTACCTTTTTTTCTGTTTTTCTTTCTTTTTTTCATTTTCTTTTCTATTTTCTTCTTCTCCCATCACCATCATCATCTTGCTCTTGTTTATGTTGAACTATCAAGGGAGTTTTTGAGGTAATGAAGAAGCTACAAAGTAAAAAAAGTTACAGAAGCAGGCAAAAACAGAATCAACAGAAATGCTCGAAATAGTATTGTAATGCTATTAGATTAATACCATAACTGATTCTCCATTAATTTTCATTTGGATCATTACAGTTGGGCTAATGGAAAATCAATGAAATAATTTGGAATTAACAGCAAGATAAAGATGGAAGATGAATTTGCAATGGAAAAGATGGTTACAGGGAAAGATAAACACGTACAATAATCAATTGCATTCAAACAGAAAAGATTGATCAGATTGATCAATCTTTTTTTTCATTCTTTAATTGTTTTCCATTCAAAGGTAATTGTGTGAATAGCAAATGAGAAACACTGACTTGATTATTGATATGAAAAAGCTTAGCTTTGGAACCGATAAATGATGTGAACTTCAAATGGAGAGAAAGATAATGCAAGAAGTAGCAAAGAAATGAATTTTTCCTCAGATTTGTTCACTTTCTTCAAATTTTTCTATTCTACTTTCAGGGAAGTTGCTTGATAGCTTGCACATGTTTCGAGGGAATTGCAAAGAGTTTCGATTCGCACTAATATCCAAGTGAATATTGAAGTCAAAAGGATAACCTCTTTGGCTCTTGTGCGCCTCGATAACATCGAAGGGATTGAAATCAATATTGTTATGGATACAATTAATAAAACATTTTATATCTTTGAGTTTGATTAAATAATTGAAGCAAATTGTTTGCAATTTTTCATTGCAATTTCAATCAATACAATGAAAAGGTTTTGTGCTGTTTTATGTTTCTTTTCATGAAACAACTTTTTTTTTGTTATTCAATTATTAAACAGCATAAAATGTATGAAAACAGAAGAGCAAATATCAGATTTCATTGGATCAACAAATTCAAGATAACAAGCTAAATGTTGTTTCTATAGATGATGATAATGATGATGATGAGCAAATATTAATAAAGAGAAACGGTAAAAACTGGAAAACATGAGACGGAAACAAAAAGTAATGGAAGATGAGAAAGAAAAGTTTGATGAGAAGAAGATGAAGACAAAAAGTTGAAACAATATAATGCTGTAAATATGAAGCTGCCAATCATTAAAGTTGATTTAGTAACTGGCTTCTTAACAAGTAACACCAAAATGTATGGAAAGTTGCGAGTAAAATGAGAGCAAGAAAAGGTAATCTGGAAATGCGAGAAACTCGAAGATGACAAAGTCTTGTGATTCGTATCATCATCATCATCATTGCTTTCCATTTTTCATTTTCATTATTCTATTATCAAAATTGAGAGAATATAAATGATTCTCTTTTTCATGGAAAAAACTACTTCATTCTTTTCCACTCGCATTTTGCTCTCTAAGTGATGAGGTCGTTCTCAAGCTGACACTGATATTCAGTGTAATTTGGACCATTTGTTGCCAAAATGATCATCAACAAGAAACAACTTTTCCTTTCTGTTGCAATGTTAAAATCGATAATCGAGTTGACAATCATTTTCTTTGCTCAACTGATGTTTATTCAGATTTACTGTTATTTTTTCTCTATTAACTTTGCATTTTTATTTCCATTCTTGTCGAGGTTCAACTTTTCACTTGGAATTTTAATTTTCGTCAAAATTTAGTCTCAGTTTATGCACATTTTCAAACTTCTGAAACTATAAAGATTAATATCGATGTTGAAGTGGATTATTCTTGGACTCTGTTCAGATTTGGCACTTTTACTTGGAAATTTCCCCTTTGATGCAACTTGATCTAATTTAGTCTTTTTATCGATCATGGTTTCATTTATGTGGAGAAAAGAATTGAAATTCATAAATGTACTAAATTGGTGTCTAGAGGGAAACTTGGAAGTTATTTTGGATGAAATTGAAGTCATCAAGAGTATCGATAATCAGGTTATTGAGATGCTATTGCATGGCTTTAGATTTAAACAAATTCATGTGATGAGATTGTGGCACCTTTTTGTCTTTAGTCATTCATATGGGAGAAGAAGATGAATTTTTGAAAATTTTATTAAAGAGGAAAATAAAGAAAAGCGATTCCTGTTCAGTTTCAATGCTTTAAGTTTGCATATTCAACTGGTTCATAGCATCGCTCTGCTGCCGAAGTTATGCCTGCTATTCAACTCAACAGTGCTGAGCTTTGAATCGAGGAGTGGTAGTTTTATCGAGATTTTCTGTGCTCTTTGGGAATTTGGTCAAGTTTTTGGATGAAAGACACAAGATAATCACCGACAACACAGTCTGGCCCATTTCAATGGACATTGTTTTGACTGGTTGTGTTGCATGCTGCTAGTGTGCATTAGCTCAAGGAAACTAAAGCTTCCTTCCACAAAACATTTCCTCTTCTTGCTTCCTTCTTTTCTGTTCGAGTTCAGTAAATGGATCGCAAAAGAAACCTTTTATATCGACTATCACTTGTCCATCAATATAACAGTGTTACAGCTTCAGGATGAGTACATTGACTCAAAGATTAACACCAAATGTGTCGAAAGAAGTTACACAAAATGCGATCTTAATCTGCTAAAACTTACAGATTCTCCAAATTGCGTTACTTTTTGCAAAGACATCTTTCTTACGTATTATAACGGCATTAAATGCAATAGATTCTTCATTTTAAAGAAGCGCTGCACTTTTCTCATTTTCGTCTTAAGGTTCTTCGTGTTTACGAGAATTGATTTGCAAAATCATTTTAATTTTGTTCGCCTATTTAGTGCAAAGCAATTGCAGGTTACAAAGATGATTTGCAAATCTTGTAATTCTTTGTTGGATCAATATTTAGCTTTGAAACAGATCAATTACCTTCTTTTGCTGATATTTACTCACATTATGAAGGATATTTATGATCAATAAGACTCGAGCTCAATACAATAAGATTCATCAACACTTTACTCTGCCAATTGATTGTATTACTTTCTCTTATTCACTAAATCTCAATAACTTTTACTTGGCACAAATGTCCAGTCAGATAGTCAACCTTTTGCTCAGTAAAACTCAGCGAAATTAATTAATTTACAATATTTCGATTCTAATTATTCACAGCTTGAAACAGCTTGATTCAACTGATCCCTTCCCTTCTCGTCCAACAACTTTTCATTAAACACCGAAAGCTGACCCTCATTAATTAACAAGTTAACCAACATGTTACTTTGTAATAATCTGGACAAAACACGGCGAACATTGTTCAAAGAAGAAAACAAAATATCAAGTTTGATTGATTGTATTCAACTTTCGAGATAATTATCGATTCTTTCATTCCATTGCTTAAAAGTAGTCAAAAAGTTATCCAATATTAAATGTCAATCCAGTTGACATTACACTTTGTGCATTTGGTTCGCTTTAACTTCTTAACCAGGAGAAGAAAGAATTTCTCATTTTCCCCTTTTACTACCATTCCAGGTTATCTGCCATTTTCCGAGTTTCCCTTTACCAACTGTTTTCCAGAATTGAAATCATTTACTTAACTTCACACATTTATTGCTCTTTCCACTTTTACTTTATGGACTGTTAACCTTAACTCTATTTAGTTTGCTCCATTCACCCAACAACAAACATTCATTTTTGGTGAATGAACAATTCTCACCATAAACAGAGTAACAAATTCATTCCCTGGTGAGTTTATCAGAATAACCTTTTCTCTTCACCATTTCAATATTTTCCAAGATCATCATTCAGCCTCACTTTTACCAAAACTCATTTAGAATCAAAAGAATGCAATTAGCAGAGAAAAAATTAAAACATTTTCCACTTTTCATGTTCCAAGCGATATCATCGGAAACGATCATCACTTGGAATCCATTGTAAATGAACATTTACGAG